CCTTTCTGGTTCCTGGATGTGCTTTTACTAAACTGTCCCTGGGGTAGTGCCATCTGCCTTCAGAGAGGCACCTTGTAGGAAACAGATGCATAAACTTCATTATCAGATTTAGTGTCATGATGTCATCTGCTACAGCTGTCTACTGCATCCCACAGTGTTTTCTCTGCAGGATCTAGAGGAGAACTTTCTCTGATCTCTCCGTGTCATGAAAAGCGCTGCATGCCCTGAACAAATGAGACCTTTTAATCCCACTGTGGATTATGTCTCCTGCTTTGGCTGCTGGGAGGACTGAGTCCAATGTTGAATATCTACTCTTATCAGTTTCCTAGAGCTGCCACAACAAAGTATCACAAACAGATTGGCTGAAAACAACAGGTGTTTATTCTTCCATAGTCCTGGAGGTTTGGTTAGAAGTAAAAATTAAGGTGTCCGCTGGGCTATGTTACCTTTGGAACCTGTAGGGAAGAATATGAGGGGACTTCAAAAAGGTTGTGGAAAAATGGAATTAAAAGATAAAAATGAGAAATACACATTTTATTTCTCAACATAAACTCCATTAAGTTCAAGAGACTTTTGTAAGCGATGATACCAGCCATCTAGTCCATTCCCAGCATCCTGGGAATTTAGCCATGTCAATGCAGTCTTCCTTACATCATTAACTGAAGAAAAATGGGTACACTTTACATCTGTTTTCTTGAGATTGAGTCTCACTCTGCCACTCAGGCTGGGGTGCAGTTGTGTGATCATAGCTCACTACAACCTCGACCTCCTGGGTCCAAGCAATCCTCCCACCTCAGTCTCCCAAGTAGCAGAGACAGGCAGACACCACCATGCCTGGTTAAGTTTGTATTTTGTGTAGAGACAGAGTCTCACCATGTTGCCCAGTCTGGTCTTGAACTCCTGGGCTCAAGTGATCCTCTCATCTTGGCTTCTCAAAGTCTTGGGATTATAAGCGTGAGCCACCATGCCCGCCATTTTTTTTTTTTTTTTTAATATTAGTGTGTTAGTCCATTTTGCATTGCTATAAAAGGATACCTGAAAGGAGGCTCATTCGACTCTCAGTTCTGCAGGCTGTACAAGTAGCAAGGTGTCAGCATCTGCTTCTGGTGAGGACCTCAGGAAACTTCCACTTATGATAAAAGGGGAAGGGGAGCAGACATCATGGCAAGAGAAGAGGAAAGAGGGAGTAGAGGGAGGCGCCAGACTCTTTTTAACAACCAGATCTGCAGGGAAGTAAGAGTGAGAACTCATACCCCCCAGGTACGGCATTAATCTATTTTTGAGGAATCTGCCCCCATGACTCAAACACCTCCCATTATGCCCCACCTGCAACACTGGGAATCAAACTTCAGCGTGAGACTTGGAGGGGACAAATATTCAAACTATATCAATTAGAAAAAAGAGAAGTCAGACAGCCACGTCAGCTCTGTAAGGTGGATGCCTAATGATTTTCTATGGGAACTCTCAAAAAATTGCCCTTGTCTGATGAGAGGAATAAGCAGGAGCACTGTTGTGGTAGAGAAATACTCTCTCTGGTGAAGCTTTCCCAGGTGTTTTTTCGCTAAAGCTTTGGTTAACTTTCTCAAGACACTCTCAAAATAAGCAGATGGTATTGTTGTTTGGCCCCTCAGAAAGTCAACAGGTGAAATGCCTTGAACATCCCCAGAAATTGTTGCCAGAACTTTGGTCTTGACTGGTCTGCTTTTGCTTTGCCGCGGTAACTTTCTTCTCTTGTTAGCCATTGCTCTGATTGTGCTTTGTCTTCAGGATCATCCTGGTGAAGCCATGTTTCATCTTCTGTTCCAATTCTTCAAAGAAATGATCCCATTGTTTATTCTGCTCTTCTGCACAGCTGATCTGAGCACAGTGGTTTTGGCACCCATTGAGTAGAAACTTTGCTCAACTAAAATTTTTCAGTGAGAATTGTGTGAGCTGACCCAGGTGAGATGTCTGTGGTGTTGGCCATTGTTTCTGCTCTTCATCGTTGGTCCTCTTCAGTTAGGGCTCAAACAAGATGAATTTTTTTTCTTGCAAATCGACGTAGATGGTCTACCGCGATGGGCTTCATCTTCAACATTGTCTCATCCCTTCGTAAACTTATCCATTTGTAAGCATCTAATTTCTTTGGGGGCATTGTCTCCATAAACTTTCTGTAAAGCATCGATGATTTTACCACTCTTGTCCCCACACTTCACCATAAATTTGAGGTTGATTCTTGCATTAGCCGACTTCATGTTGCTCTGATGTGAACTCTTCAAACTGAAGTCATATCCTTCTTCTTGCCTCAAACAGGACCCTATTCAGATATGTTATACAAGTTAGTACCAGTTTATTGGTGTGGAAAAACTTTGAAATCCATGCACAATTTTTTCATGATGCACTTTTTTTTTTTTTGAGATGGAGTCTCACTGTGTTGCCCAGGCTGGAGTGTGGTGGTGTGATCACTGCTCACTGCAGCCTGAACCTCCAGGTTTAAGCAATTCTCCCACCTCAGCCTCCCCAGTAGCTGGGACCACAGGTGTATGCTAACACACCCAGCTAATTTTTGTATTTTTATTAGAGCTAGGGTTTTGCTATGTTGGCCAGGCTGGTCTTGAACTTCTGACCTGAAGTGATCTGCCTGCCTTGGCCTCCCAAAGTGCTGGGATTACAGGCATGAGCCACCACGCTGAGCATGATACACATTATTGATGAACTTTGTTGAAGTACCCTTTGTACTTCCTTACCTTTCCCTAGCTTCTGGTGGTGGCTGGCTGTCTTACTCCATTTCATGCCTACTATAACAGAACACCTAAAACTGGGTAATTTATAATGAACAGGCATTTATTAGCTCATAGTTCTGGAGGCTGGTAAGTTCCCTATCAAGATGCCAGCAATGGGTGAGAGCATTCTGGTTTCATCATCACATGGCAGAAGGCAAGAGGTAGGAGGAGAAACTCCCTTCATCAAGCCCTTTATAATTACATTAATCTATTCGTGAGGGCAGGGCTCTCATGACTGAAACATTTCCCACTGGGCTCTTCCTCCCAGCACATTGGGGATTATGTTTCAACATGAGTTTTGGAGGGGACAGAAACATTCAAACCATGGCAGTAGCAATACCTTGTGTTCCTTGGCTTGCAGTTGCATCCCTCCAATCGCTGCCTCTGTCATCACATGGCATTGTCCCTGGGTGTCTGTGTCCAAATTTGCCCCTTATAAGGATGCTGGCTATATCGGATTATGACCCACCCTAGTGGGTGTCTTAACATGATTACATCTGCAATCACCTTATTTCCAGATAAGGTCACATTCACAAATGTCCAGAGTTAGGACTTCAACACATCTTTTGCAGGGACATAGTTCAACTCAAAGCACCTACAAGTGCCACGTGGTCAACTTCTCTGTATGCTAATATTACCCTTCTTATTTCATCTTTTATTTTTCTCCCTCTATTTTCCTTTTGTCTCAATTACCTAGATTACTTAGTTTTTGCTTAATTATATACATCCTTGGCTGGGTTTGAAAGGAAGAAGACAGAAATGAAGGGAAGGATGAAGAGAAGGCGAGAGGAAAAGAGAGAAGGAGAAGGAGGAAGAAAAGCTTGCCCCCTAAAATTAGACATGAGACCGGGGGAACAGAGTTGCTGGAATGGAGAGCAAGGGTGGGAAAGACTGACTGGGAAAATGTTTTTGCTGTGGGCTTCATCAGAACCTCAGAATAATTTTTTTTGAGGAGATGGATGCAGTGGCTAGCAGCTGCTTGAAGCTTAGCTGATCTAGGAAAAAGTGGAAGATAGTTTGATGAACTGGGAATTAGGAGAGTAAAGGTATGGTCCAGCTACTTTTATATGAATGTTAGTAGACACAATATGGATTGAAGTTTTGTGGTAATAGGAAGCTTATAGAGTGTTGAAGACTAACGTATCCTAGCTGTTGTGGACACAGACCCATAAATCATTGATTTAGTGCATGCAATTTATTCTGGAGGACAGTATCTCATGTTTACAGGGTATCATCCTCCAAATGGCACTTTAGCTGAAACTTTAATAGGCTATTCCAGTTGTCTATGAGACTAGCTGTTTGTGGAGATTATATGCATATATGAGCAGCTAAAGCTACTATATAAACCAACATTTCCCTTTCCACCTGTTTCTCATCTTAAGCCATCACAGGTAAGAGTCTTAATCCTAATACTATTGCACACCAAGGGTTACCATCACCCCACTTACCACTAGAAATGAGGTCCTTGTTACTGTTTGGTGGGTGAATGATCCAGTAACAGAATTCTATCCTGAGGTTTGAAGGTTCAGACCTATAAGTAGCTACAAGTAGCTTCTATTTTCTAGGGCCACTCTCTACATGCTTTCTTAGTTTGGATTTCCCTAAACGCAACGACTAAGACAAGGACTAGGATGCAGATAATCTGAGGGCTGACTGCAGGAAGCAGGGCTAAGGGAGCAGGGAGAGTAATGGAAGAAACATGTCAAAATAAAGAGGCTTTGCTTTTCTAACTATAAATGACTGTGTGTCTTTCAAATAATGTCCTCATTTTATACTGATTATGATTGTAACAAAACCCATTCCCAAATGGTGAACTGTTTTTAATGTTCACCTTTAGACTTTTTCAGACCCACCTTCCTTTTTTTTTTTTTTTTTCAGAAAGAAGGTCTTGTTCTGTCACCCGGACTGGGGTGCAGTGGCGTAATCATGGCTCACTTCAGCCTCAAACTCCTGCATGCCAGTGATTCTCCCACCTCAGCCTCCCAAGCACCTGGGGGTACAGGCACATGCCACTGTGCCCACCTAATTTATTTATTTTTTATTTTTATTTTTTTTGGAAGGTAGAGACAGGGTCTCACTATGTTTCCCCGGCTGGTCTCAAACTCCTGGTGTCAAGTGATCCTTCTACCTCAGCCTCCCAAAATGCTGGGATTAAAGGTGTGAACCACTGTGCTGGGCCACTTCTACCCCATTGTTTAACTTAACATTGTCTTAATCTGTTTTGTTCTGCTATAACAGAACACCAGAGACTGGGTAATTAATGAAAAGAGGAAATTTATCTAGCCTACAGTTCTGGAATCTTGGAAGTCCGAGATCAAGGGACTGCATCTAGTGAGAGCCTTCTTGCATCATCCCATGGCAGAGGCAGAAGGGCAAGAAAGAATGAGAGAGAGAGAGAGGGAGAGGGAGAGGGAGAAAGAGAGGGAGAGGGGGAGATGGGGCAGTGGGGGGCGGAGAAAGAGAGGGAAAGAGAGAGAGACACAGCGAGGGAGAGTGCACTAAACTTGCTTTTAGAGCAAACCCACTCCCACAATTAATCCATTCAAGAAGAGTCTGCAGTCACCTCTTAAAGTTCTTAGCTGTCAACACGGTTGCTTTGGGGAATTAAGTTTCCAATACATAAAGTTTGGGGACACATTCAAACCATAGCCATCATTTTCTGCCATTTATTATTAGAAAAACGTTAATGTATACTTTATGTTTATTTTGTTGGTTGGCTTTTGGCTTGGATACTTATGAAATTTTTAAAACTTATCTTTGAGACTGGAAATTTTTACTGTAATTATATATGTGAAGTCTCTTTTTGCTTGAAACATAGTGCGCTAAGCTTGGAGTTTATCCTGAGGTAGTTTTAGGCAAGAGAGTTACATGGTGAGAGCTGTGTTTTAAATATACCACCTCAGGCAAGTATGGGGGATGTGTTTGGAAAAAGTACAGACTAGAGCTGAGTAGACCAGTTGGACTGTTGGAATATTGTAGGCCAGAACTGAGATATTTTTAAGATTCAGCCTGTTCAATATGTACCAGGAAGTAATCAACAAGAGAATAGATGGGAAATGGAGTTGGTAAGAAGTAACTCCAGTGTGGTCTGCGGTTCCCATGTCTCACTGCTGTGTGTTACTGGCCTCGGTGTATTTGAGGAGCCTGAGCTGCTGTGCAGAGGCCAGCGTCACTGGGGCATGCGACTCTAGGGAGTAGTGCTCCCTGGGGTGACATTTTCTTTTTCTTTTTTTTTTGAAACGGAGTCTCGCTCTGTCACCCAGGCTGGAGTGCAGTGGTGCGATCTCAGCTCACTGCAACCTCTGCCTTCCGGGTTCAAGCGATTCCTGTCTCAGCCTCCTGCGTAGCTGGGACTATAGGTGCCCGCTACCATGCCCGGCTAATTTCTGTATTTTTAGTAGAGACGAGGTTTCGCCATATTGGTCAGGCTGGTCTTGAACTCCTGACCTCAGGTGATCCACCTGCCTCAGCCTCCCAAAGTGCTGGGATTACAGGCGTGAACCAACACACCTGGCCCAGGGTGACCTTTTCTACATCACTGGAATGAGAGGAAAATACTGGTTGCAGAAAGAAACGGCTCTTTTCCTATGGAAATCCTCAGCAAGGCATTTGATACTGATTTCTGTTTCTCAGAACTGTTAGGAAGAACTGGTACAGAGATTTATCCCAGAATTTCAACTCCTTTTCAGGATTCATTAGTCTACCACTCTGTATTGTTTTGTGGTTTATGTACATCTATTCACCATAAACTACTACTACTGCCTAAGGATGGAGGAGGCTGGCAGGGGATCCAGGCAGGACTCACTCACTGCCGTCTCACGTTTTTCCTCTCCTAGGGTTCTAGGATGCCTCATAAAGGCCCATAGTGTACTTTCTGTCTACTTCACTTAGCTCCACATTGGCGATTTCTGTTAACACGCATGCAGTTGAATGGATGGCCAGAATCGAAGCTATCTGCTGTGAGACACAATGAGAAATGCTTTTGTGTAAAGGCAGGAGTAGTTTTATTTACTGCTACATCACACAGGAAAGGTGGGGAGGAAATAAAAAGAAAGACAGGAAAGCAAAGGCAAACCAATATGACCAACAGTGGTACAGGCCTTTTTGTTCTTACCTCTCTACCAGGGTCCCTAAATTAGGCTTATACTTGGAAAAGCAGAAGACAGATCTGGTGGGAGGGGATATGGAAAAGACCTGGGAGGCAACCCTCGTGCAGAGAGCCTTGTCTCCACGGAGCACTGCTCCACTGGCACACTTGTTCAAAGAACTGGCAGGCTGGGGGTCGGGCTCCCTCCTGCTTGTTTAAAGGGCTGGTATGACTGGTTAGAGTGAACCTCTGGAGGCTTATCCCACCATGATTCCAGGGGTCTCACTCTGCAACCGTAGTCAGGGTTGATGTGACCTGACCTTCGCGTTCAGACATCCACGCAAGTTTCAGAAGTGTTTACAAACTTTTTGCCAAAGGAAAAATAAACTTGCACAGAAGAGTTGGTTTAGCTGTTTTCTGAGATAATTATAAAAATAATAGCAAGCCCCAACTCTCAATCATTTAAATTTTTTTCCTTTTTTTTTTTTTGAGACAGGGTCTCAGTCTGTTGCCCAGGCCAGAGTGCCATGGCATAATCGTAGCTCATTGCAGCCTTATCCTCCTGGGCTCAAGCTATCCTCCTGCCTCAGTCTCCCAAAGTGATGGGATTACAGGAGTGAGCCACTGTACCTGGTCAATTTTTTTCTTTTGCATTTCTTTTGCCATAGGAGAAAAGCAAACCATTATCTGAGTATGTGTGGCTTGGGGGCACAAGCAGATGTAGGGTGTATCGCTCTGTCCTCAGAGAAACTATCAGCATGCTGTTGCTTTTGGTGTTGGCTGGCACTACTCAGGATGATCCAGCCTGCCTGCTTGGATGTATGATTCAGTTAATCCGAAATCCTCCTCTCCGCCCAACCAAACCTCCTACTCATTCACTGAGTCATCACCCTTATGAAAACCGCTTAGATTACACTATGTTAGAAGGATCTCTCCCTCACCCGAGTTTCTCTTGTCCTCCAGGCTAGTACTGTGCATCTGACACGTTGTTTCTTAGAAGCTAGCCTTGCCTTCACAGCTCAGCTAGAATGGTCTCTGTGGCAGGAATGAGAGCGCGTACATTTCCCCCATAAAGGCTAGCACAATGCTGGGCAAAGTATTCGGTGAATACTTGGAGTGATTGAAAACTTGCCATTAAAAGCATATACTGTGTAGGTGCTTACATGAGGTGCTTAGAGTAGTCACATTTATAGAAATATAAAACAGAATGGTAGCTGCTGGAGGCTGGGGGGTGGAGGAGAGATGGGGAGTCATGGTTTAAGGGGTACAGACTTTCTCTTTGTGAAGATGAAAATGTTCTGGAGATGCATGGTGGTGATGGTTGCACAACATTATGAACGTACTTAATGCCACCAAATTGTGTACCTAAAAAGGTAAATTTTATTTTATGTATATTTTGCCACAATAAGGTTTAATTTTTTAAGAAACCTATACTGTAGAAATTTGAGGCTCTCCCCTAAGTCCACCCTCAGCTGCTCTCCCTGGTGCCCATGTGCAGAATCCATATCATGTGTGAGTGCAATGTCCAGTTGGATTGCCATGCTGGCCAGGCCCCAGCTACTGGGCTCAGCTTCCCACTTGGCAGCTCCGTTTTTGTTTTGAAAATGGGGTCATTTGCACCAGGCTTTTAGTTTAGATTTGTTTTTGTAGTTCCTGTCTACACAAGGATGGTGAGGAAAGAGTCCAGATCTAGAGCAAGCAAGGTTATAGTTTCCCTGTGGTAATGGAGAAAAGCTTAGTGATGGTGAGATTTCTTGACATCTCACAGCCTCCAATTTAGTTTGGTTTTGTTTTTCATCTGTAAAATGAAGATTTCAATAGTCCCTACCTCTTCAGGTTGTTGTGGGGATTAAATGAAGTGAGTTGTATCAAATACCTTCCACAGTGCCTGAGGCAGGGCAGGAGCTAGGAAGCGTTGTTCATTATTTAACGACAGCTGAGAATTTTTGGATTCTGTGACTCCAGTTTGGGTTCCAGAAGGACAGAAGCAGCCCACAGGGCTCCTGACACAGTGCCTTGTCTATGATGTGTGATCCTATACATAACAAAATCCTTGGGAGGCACCAAGTTGGTGGCTGGGGAAACAATCTGGTCCGGAGCGTCAGGGATTTTTCGGTACGACTTTCCCCACTCAGTCAGAAACCCAGCTGCCTGCCATGCCTGGGCTCCCGTGTTCCCTGCGGTGCTCTCTTTCTCTAGTTCACATTCAAAAAATCTTGAGAAAGGACTTGAAGAGACCTGCTTGGCTGGCTTTCTCACCTGCGTGGCCAAGATGCCAGCACTCACTTGACCACGTAGTCAGAGTACGGCGGGCAGCTTTCCATGTGAAGAGGAGTGGTGGGCAAAGAAAAATGAGGCATCCACCCCGCACTGAACTGCATGCCCTGGGCAGGCCAGAGAAAAAGCAGCCATGGCCCCACCGCCATCTCTCTCTTCAGTGACTAATGCCCTATGCGCCATGATATCTGTTTGCAAAGAAAAGATGCCTTATGTTTCTTCTTTTGAAAGGGAGTCGAGCACATTGATCTTAAGGCTTTCCAAGTTAGCATCTAAAATTATTTGACCTTGGTTTAATAGGGAGAAATTGATCAGGTTGTGGAAATGAAAAATGCAAATGCTTGATGAAAAATACTTGAAATAAATTCAAGGCCATATTAACATTTAATTTACACTTCCTCCCAGAAGCTATTTTTACATTCCTATTTACTAATATGATATGCAGTAGTTATTTTTCTCCGTGACTCAATATGACGGGATATTTTTTTCCTTTCTTCAAATAGTTCTCAATTCGGATATGACACAGAGTTCCCATTTTCCCCATAAATTACATATTTATAGCACACGGGATTAGCAGGAATGCTGTATGTCTCTTAAAAGTACTTCTGTATTTGAATTATAGAGAAAATGACTTGATGGGAGTCTGAACTTTGGGCACTCTTGATGTAGCTGGAGCAGAGAGGGGAACAGAACTCTGTGTTCCAGGCCTAGGCACTGTGTGTTCTGAACATGAGCCTGCCACTGCCAACTGAGTACACGTGGGGAAGGGTGATGAGGAAAGGATGGGCATGAGCAACCCGGATCAAAGGTCATGTGGTGGTAAGAACATAGCTTGGACATCCTGCATCTTGGATTCTGTTCTGCTGTGTACTAGCTCTGAAAGCTTGAGACAGCTTCTTAGCCTTTTTGGTCCTTTTGCTTTTTCCTCTGTAAACTGGCATAACAGAAGGAGTTACAGTTAGGGTTATTATAAGGATTTGAATAACGTAATGCATGGAAAGCTTCCATGCAAGTGTTTTTGTTGAGAGAGTCATCAATTAAAAAAACAAACAAACAAACAAACAAACAAAAGCCTGTCATTCCAGAGAGTTCTAAAGCAGGACAAGTGTCTTCTGTTCCTTGCACCCTTCTTCCCCTTCCCTTTGGAAGACTGGTGGCTGAGACCAGCTAAGTTGTCTACTTGGGAGGAGGTACCCTTCCTTCCCCACAGAAAGCTAAGTGGGATCCAAGAGTCAAGGGAGCACAGAGCAGGCCCCTTAAGCCTACCTCTATCCCAGGCTTCCTGTAGAGGTTTATGTGGGGCCTATTGCTCCTCCACACAATAAGGAACCATGTAAAAGCTTGGGAGCTGAAGTACATATTTGCCGGGAGGGAGCTCAGTATAGTAGATGTTCCCTTTATAACCCTGCACCCAGCGTGACAATGGGCAGTGCTATGGTTTGAATGTTTGTGTCTCTCCAAAATTCATACTGAAACTACATCCTCAATGGAATAATAGTATTAAGAGGTGGGACCTTCAGAAGCTGATTAAGCCATAAGGCTCCTTCCTGGTGAATGGGATTAAGGCCCTTATAAAAGAGGCTTCTTGGAGTCTTCATCTTTTTTTCCCCTTCTGGCTTCTGCCATGTGAGAGCTCAATGATCACCCAGTCCACAGGACGCAGCAAAAAGGCACCGTCTTGGAAGTAGAGACCAGCTCTCACCAGACACTGAATCTGCTGGCTCCCTGATCTTGGACTTCCCAGGGTCCAGAACTCTGAGAAATAAATTTCTATTGTTTCCCAAGTACTCAGTCTGTTGTATTTTGTTATAGCAGCAGGAATGGACTGAGAGAAAAGCAGCTAGTTGAGGATTTGGGAATTTGGGTGTTTATTTGGTTTTTGGTTTTGGTTTAAGTGAACCTTTTTGCAACACATTGTAGACATTTTATGTCTAATAAAATGCTTCCATTTAAAATATGCTTTTGAGTAGGCTTTAGAAAATGTATACAACCACGTAAGCATCTTAATCAAGACACAGAAAGTTTTTGTAACCCTCAAAAGTTCCCTTGTGTCCTGTTGCAATAAATCTCCCCTTCTCCCCACCCCCAAGTGATTCCTAATCTGCTTTCTATCACTATAGAAAAGTTTGCATTTTCTAGAATTTTGTATAGAGTGAATGGATCAGGCTTTCATTTATCAAAATGCTTTTGAGATTCATCCATATTGTTGCATGTATCGGTGGATTCTTCCTTTTCCTTGCTAAGCTTCATTCCATTATATAGATATACTGCAATTTGTTGATCAATTCTCCGTTAGTGGACATTTGGATTGTTGCTAGTTTTGGTGTATTTTGTATAAACGGACAGTTCCTGACTTATGATGGTTCAACTTTCAGATATTGTGAAAGCAATACACATTCAGTAGAATTCATACTTCAAGTACCCGTTCAACCATTCTATTTTTCACTTTCAGTACACTATTTAATAAATTATGTGAGATATTCAACACTTTATTATAAAACAGGCTTGTGTTAGATAATTTTGCCTAGCCTAAGCTAATGTAAATGTTCTGAGCACATTTAATGTAGGCTAAGCTAAGCTATGATGTCAGGTAGGTTAGGTATAGTAAATGCACTTTTGATTTATGATATTTTCAACTTATGATGGCTTTATTGGGACATAATTGTATTGTAAGTTAGCCAGGGAGCATCTGTATATTAAAAAGCTGCTATGAACATCTGTGTACAAGTCTTTTTGTAGATACATGTTCTCATTTCTTTTGGATAAATACCTGGAGTGGGATTGGTAGATGACATGGTAAATATGTGTTTAAATTTATGAGAAACTGCCAAAGTATTTTCCAAAGTAATAGTAACATTTTACACTCCTACCAGGACTGTAGGAGACTTCCAGGCGCTCCACATCCTCACTGACACTTAGTATTGCCTGTCTCTTTAATTTTGGTTGTTCTGGTGGGTGTGAAATGGTATCTTGGTTTAGTTTTAATGTGCATTTTCCTAATGCCTATGGAATTTTTCTTTGCCTAATGGCTAATGAAGTTGGGTTCTTTCCATGTGCTTATTAGTCATTCATTCATCTTCTTTAGCAAAGGGTCTTTTCAAATATCTTGCTTATATTTAATTGGTCTGTCTTCACAGCTGAGTTGTAATAGGTCTTTTTATATTCACACTACAAGTCCTTTGTTAGATATATGTTTGCAAATATATTTTTTTCCCATTCTGTGGTTTCTCTTTCATCTTCCTAGTGGTGTTTTTCAATGAGCAAAAATATTAATTTTATAAAAGCTCAGTTTACTAATTATGTTTTTAATAGTTTGTGGGTTTAATGCTCTATTCAAGAAATATTTGCCTACACTAACGTTGCCAAGATTTTCTCCTAGGTTTTCTTCTAGGAGTTTTATGGTTTCCACTTTTACATGTTGCCTATTATACAATTTGAGTTAATTGTTGAGTATGGTGTGAGGCAAGGGCCAATACTTACATCTTTTGCCATGAATGTCCTAGCACCATTTGCTGAAGCACCCCTTTTCCCCATTGAAATGCCTTGGCACAAAAATCACTTGACCATACATGTGTGGGTCTATTTCTGGACTGTCTCTGCCTGGATGAAAGGTTAGGAAAACTATGGGTTTCTAATGAGAAAGTCAAGTTTAATTAATTATCCTCTGAATAGATATGCACTGGGGGTTTGGCAGCTGAAGCTTAATAGCTAATTGCAAGGACTGCCAGTGAATAGTGGGTAATCTACATCCCCAATTTCATGTTGGAGATGTCATAATTACTGTATATCACGGGACAGCAAGGCAGAGCAAATGGATACAAGCTGCAGCTCTCTAGAGGCATTCCATGATGCTGCTCTGAGAGTTGGAGAAAAGGTCCCAGTTGTCAACCACAGACTGCCACGAAGTCAGCAGTTTCAAGTAATGTGGTATGCACCCAACTGCCTTTGAATCATGGAACCAGAGAGACTACTGGATGGCCTCTAGCTGATCCCCTTCCACTAGGCCATTGATGCATCCAGTTATTTCAGACGATACCATTTTCCCCTTTCCTTCCAACCCCATCTCCTATTCAGCCAGTTTCCTTTAGTAGTTAGATATCAGGCAGGGTTCCTGTAATTCACTGTATTGAAAGCATTTGGCAAAATTCAGCACCCCTTCATGATAAAATGTTATCATCAATCTTAGAATAGAAGAGGACTCAACTTGAGAAAGAACATCTACAAAAAATGTACAGGTAACATTGTACCTAATGCTACAAGACAATGTTTTTCCCCAACGTTGAAAAATCACTTTGGTTGCAGAATGAAGAATGGCTTGTGGAGAGATGGGTAAAAGTCAATGATATAATTGCATCTAGGAAGTTATGGCAATAGTTCAGGTGAAGATGAGAGCTTAGACTTGCATGGCAGCAATAGAAATGAGACGTATTTAGGAAGATGGGGCTCATTCACAGATTGGGGATTATTCACAAATTGAGGGAGAGATCTAAATATAACTGCTAGGTATTAGCTTACCCAGCTGGATGGATAGTGCTGCCATTCATTGGGCACAAAAATCAGGATGATTTTCTCTATACCATGGCCCCTAAAAGTCAATTAGAAGAGTCTGATATCTGTGGATGATATCTGTATTCAGAATGGAGGTGAGGTATTTTCAAGTACATGAAACTGTGTTTACATACACAGGGCTCCCTGACTGCAGAAAGTAATTGAAGGAAAAAGCAGGTCTTATGAAGTAAATTACTGGGGAGACATGCCAATACTGAAATACTGGAGAAGAGGGGAGAATTATATATTTCAAGGTGCTTTACAACAAGCTCTTTAACATATTATCTGATTTAAGTATTACCACAGCCATGTGAAGTAGAATTTTTTTGATACCTGTTTTTAGATGAGGATTGGAGTCCCAATTTATTAAATGATTTGTCCGAAACTATTCAATGATGAAAGGTTTTAAATGTAAATCTCCTGATTGCAGTGTCCCTAATCTTTTCAGTGCTACAGTAAAGGTTAATTTCAGCTAAGAAGAGAGTCATTGGAAGGAATTCAGGTCTGCAGACTGGGTCCTCTCTAATAGGCTATTTCTCTTTTCTCCCACCCAGTTAAATCCTACTCATCCTTTGAGACTCTGTTCTGATTGTTCATCTCCTGTAAATCGTTTGCACCCATTCCTACTTACTGATTACTTCCTTTTTAAAAAAAATTTAAATTATATGTTATTTAATGTAATATGTTAAAATAGTATAGTTTCAACATGCTATCAATATAAAAATGATATTTCACATTTTTCTGTACCAAATATTTGAAACCCAGCATGTATTTTATACTTACAATGAATCATAATTGGAAGTAGTCTCATTTCCAGTACTTACTGGCTAGTGGCTTCTGTACTGGACAGCACAGGTCTACAGTCTAACCCCTTCTAACCTTCAGTGTGATACTCACCTTAAAATGTACAAAAAGAGGTGCATAATAGTTGATCCAAAATTAAATAATGCTCTGTTAAAAGGGGAAGTGAAAGACAAAATATCTTAACATTTGGACCTTATCTGATTACCAAGAGACATTTTACGGTGATTGAAGAATGGCTAAGCAAATCTTTTTGACATTATTTTTACAAATACTTTGCAGACTGGTTTTCTCTTTCCATTACCTCATTGAAAGTCTGTCTGGGCACCTAGTTATTTTGTTCTATTTCTCCACTTAACAGTTGTTCATTCTGATGTATCTCAAAATAATAATATTGACAATAATGATATTGACAAACCCATAGTCAATATCATACTGAATGGGCAAAAACTGGAAGCATTCCCTTTGAAAACCAGTGGAAGACAAGGATGCCCTCTCTCACCCCTCCTATCCAACATAGTGTTGGAAGTTCTGGCTAGGGTAATCAGGCAAGAGAAATAAATAAAGGTATTCAATTAGGAAAAGAGGAAGTCAAATCGTCTCTGTTTGCAGATGGCATGATTGTATATTTAGAAAACCCCATCGTCTCAGCCCAAAATCTCCTTAAGCTCATAAGCAACTTCAGCAAAGTCTCAGGATACAAAATCAATATGCAAAAATCACAAACATTCCTCTACACCAATAATAGACAAACAGAGAGCCAAATCATGAGTGAAATCCCATTCACAATTGCTACAAAGAGAATAAAATACCTAGGAATCCAACTTAAAAAGGATGTGATGGACCTCTTCAAGGAGAACTACAAACAACTGTTCAATGAAATAAAAGAGGACACAAATGAAAGAACATTCCATGCTCATGGATAGGAAGAATTAATATCTTGAAAATGGCCATACCACCCAAGGTAGTTTATAGATTCAATGCTATCCCCATCAAGCTACCACTGACTTTCTTCACAGAATTGGAACAAACTACTTTAAAGTTCACATGGAACCAAAAAAGAGCCCGCATTTCCAAGACAATCCTAAGCAAAAAA